GTCATAACTCAACTGATTTCAAATCATTCACAGGACATTGTGATTAAAAAGAAAAGTAAACCATGATATTAAAATGTACCACCTTGAAATTCAGTAATGCTACTTATTATTGTTGGTTAAATATATTTTACCTTGAGGCTACTCTAGGTGGCTTAAAGCCCAAATAAGAAAGATACAACAAAATGCTGTTTCCCCACTTCTTGAAAGCCTTTATGAGTTAACATACCACAGTAAAGATCAATAACTCAGGCTTCTTAGTGTGTTTGTGACAAAGCATTCAATTGCCTACGAAGGGACAAGTTCATTGGACACTGAACAAGTTCCACAGGCCCTATTCCTATTCTGAGAAAGCCAAGGTCTGATTCTTATCCTTCTTCAAGACAAGGTTAATGATTTCCTACCCGTGTTTTTCCACTGGGCCTTGAGAAGCATAATCTGAACTGAGGTATCTGAAGTATTTTCAGAACTCTCCTTTGCCTGCAAAAGGAACTGATCTGAAGGATCTTTAAATAGGCCCCTGTCCTCCACAGGCCTGTGCCTCATTTCCCTGCCACATCAAAGTGACTAGGGATTAAGAAGAGTTCCTATCCAGGAGGCACTTTTTCAATTTTATTGCAGATTTAATTCAGCCAGGTCCAAAAAGCCCTGGAAGTTTATCTAACATTTACCATTTCTCCACCATTCTAGCTTAGGAGATAGAGTCTGACCTCTGCTCTTTTGCAATTCCTGCAGGTTTGCATGGTGGCTTAACAAATGACACCTCTTCCACGTAGGAGTTGATTGGAGTTGTATATCAAACCTTCCGTTCTTCAGACAAGAACAAAAGAGGGAAGGGGTGCATTGCATGGTAAACCAGAAGACTTGCACCCAGCAGTGGGCCAGGGGGTTGGATTGGATGGTTTTTAAGATTGAAGGTTTATTTTTAAATGCTATTATTTAGATGTAGAATGGCTGGCATACTGTTTAATGCTGTCATTTTCATGAATAAAATAAGGATCAAAAAGCAGGCCAGTTCTGCCCAGTCCATTAGCTTTGCTCATATTTTTTTTTTTTTGTAAGAAAACCCAAGAGAATATTAAACTTACACTTCATTGTGAGCTTCATTGTAGTGCTTCTACATCTGAATGAAGATATAATTAACATAAGACCCAACTGGAGAATCCTGACCAAAAGACTACTCTAAGGACCAATATGTCAAGCCCGAAATTGACACATGCGTAGCAATTTTAGTTAGGCATAGTATATATTCTTTTTCTTACTTTCTCTCTGGTGGTCATGGGGGAAGGGTTTTGGGCTTGCCACATTCCTAAGGGGGGAGGAGTTGTTTAAGCTAGGTGGTTCTTCTTCCCCTGGGAAAATGAGCTGACTGTGTCCAGGCCCCTTGAGGTGGAGATTTATGACATCAAGCAACATTGAATTACTTCTATTGGAGAATGTGACTTTGCGGGGTTGTTTCTAACTTCTGATATTGTGGGGCAATTCCAGGTTGTGTCAGATCCGGAATTACCACGGACTTTGCCAATTTGATGCTTTCCTAAATAAAAGAAATTGTTTTGGAAGATGGACTTTGCTCTTTTCTTTTTAAATGGATTTCATCACTTGGTTACCTGACACAGTACTAGCTAATTGTCTCCATTTATGGCTACTAGCATGCTTTTCTTTGTTTCTTGATTGGTTTTGAGTACTAATTGGAACTGTTGCTAGTTTCAACAGAATTATCTCCAGCTTAGTATGTGAATACATGCTAAATTAGAAGTCTACCCTGACCATCTTTTTCACCCAACTTGCAATAAATTTTTAGAATTGGCCAGTATATGATTGACAGACTGTATGACATTACAAAGTAGGGTTCCCAGTCTTTTCCATCTTTATTGCTAGAAACATCAAATGGCATTTTAATAGCTCATTGTGGAGCCTTCTGCAAACTGGCTGCCATTCACATCTATTTGCTAGAAGGAAAAGTGGTGGGCTTGATTCCCTCAACTTCTGCTAACCCTAGACCATGCTCATTATCCTTCCCACTGCACTTTGTCCATGTGTGTGGATTGTGTGTACACACAGTCAAGGAATTTCAGTTCCAGCCAAAGCATACAACTGCACCCGCCCTCCAATTTTATTTTCAAGAGGCATTTTTGGTATAAAGTTGATCTTAGAAGTTAGCACCTGCTTGGCAGCAAAAAAAATCCAATCATATTTATGTTAGTTGGATGGCAGGTGAAGTTAGTGGATGTTAAGCCAGATATTGAAGATCAACACTGGGGCAGACAAGGAAAATTCCAGTTTCAGTGGCAAGAGGGTTTTGAATATCAGAGCTTAGGAACAAATCAGGGGTTATCCCATTCTTACTTGTCTAGCAAGATTTCCATGTAAAGGAATACTGGCCCAGAAATACTTTGATCCTGATTACTGCAATTCCCCTACTTCCATAATTAAGTAATTGCAGATCATCCCGCTGTCTTAAGCTTCTACCAATTGGCAGAATTGTCATTGCCAGAGACCTCAATTGTCTCAGTTGTTCCTCTGGAATCAGTTTTAGGATTAAATACAGACAGCACCATTTTGCCAAGATGGGACCATTAAAAGCCTCCTCCATCAGAGCAGGATTCCCTTTTTGTTATCATGTTGGGCTGCTTTCCAAGCAGAGATGGAAGATTATAGAATATTTCTGGCAAAACTCCACAGCCTGAATTTTCGATCAAATCACATTTATCAAAGGAAGAAGAAGAAACTCTTGTCTCTGAATTCTACTTGTTCTCTGATTCAGCATTCATATAAGGCTGGTAAGGGAAAAATTCAAAACCCAGAAATCAGACTGTGGTTTGTATATCTGTGATGAAATCTATAGTCAAATAATTTGAATAGAGGCTTAGTCCAAATAAAAGCATTGCTGACAAGACCAAGAATTGTTAACCAACATATGATTTAGATTGCAGACTACCATCCCAAAATGAAAAATATGTCCAAACATTTGACGTGGCATTATATTCCATGCACTAAACAGGGAAACTATCTTGATTTGTTCAGAGTCGGTCATATTATCAGTGAAAACTATAGCAGAGCTGATCCTACCAATTAGCAGGGTGATATAAGTTTCGCAAAAGATTAGAAAAGGTGGAAAGATCAGCCATAGGTTGAAGGACAAGGGTGTGAATGAATGTGTGGCACACAGCTTGTTCTGAACTTGTCCCAATAACCTCGCATATTGTCACATGTACATCAGTCATTCTGCTGGACTTTGGTATGTGAAGTATAGAAATGGGTTATATGCACACAGCTAGTAAAGGTTTGTTAACTAGGATTTATGTCCAGCATGTCATGCAAATTCAGCTAGTAAACCATGGATAAGCAAAGCATGTTAAACATGTTCTGAGAAAATAGTAAAAGATGTGATTTATGTGAAAGATACCTGAAGTATGAAGTGAAGGTCCTAAGTCCCTTCTGCAAAAGTTGTAATATAACCCAATGACCATGTGATCAAAACTCGGACACTTGGCACTGACATATGATAGTTCCAGTGTCCTGGGGTCATGTGATCACCTTTTGTGATTTTCTGAAAAGCAAAATCAATGAAGAAGCCAGATTCACTTAACAACCATGTTACTAATTTAACTTGCAATGATGCACCCACCAACTGTGGCAAGAGAGGTTGTAAAATAGGATAACACTCCCTTTAACAACTGTCTTGCTTAGCAACAGAAATGTGCTCCATTGTGATCATAAGTTGAAGACTAACTGTAATCAATGATAAAACACATAGGGAAAATCACGTTAATTCCCCTCTAGGGGACAGCAACCTGACTAGCCTGGAATCATCTTGAAAGGCTGAGTCAAACCTGGTTACTACTCAGATGGGGAACCTTTAAGGAATAGGAGAACAGAAGAACATCTCCACAAAGAAGTCATTTTATCCCACCCTGAACTTGTTCAAGAAAGTTTTTAAATCCTACAGGCCTTGGGCTAGTCCTGGGACAGGATCCTTCTCAGTTATAAGGCTCATTTTAGAAATTGTGGTTGTAGTCCTCACCCCTTGCATGTTATTTCTGGGGACTGTGTTTTTGAATTGTTTTGATATTGTGACAGAATTGGCCAGTTTTGCATATTTACTAAATAAATTAGGCTGGGAGTCAAAAACATCCTGGGAAAAGCCACAGTGAACCACTTTCATATTTCTGCCAGAGAAACTGCACAGCCAGGATGTTAGCAGGAATCAATCCAATTTGGAGACAGAATTTGTGGATTTGGTAACATAAAAAGTAATCAACTTAAAACAAGGCTGTTATCACCATCACTACCCCCTGGCCACCTTTTAAGATGCTCTTGCCCACAGCAATTCCCTGGTCAAAAATAAGTTGCTTTAGAAAGCAATTATTTTTATTCCCATATATATTTTATTCCCATATATTAGCTTTTAATTTTCTATCTGATCACTATGCTGTTCTTTCTCAGGAGTATTCATAATTAGAATCAATTTAAATATTGCCTAACGCCTAAACTATTTGGCTGGAAAGACTTTTTTTCCCCAGATAGATTTCTAACGGGGCTCATATTAAAAGGAATATAGACTCCTTTTTACGTCCTTAGAGCGGTGTACAACAAATCCTTTTTTTTTTCCCTCTTCAAATCCGTGGCCCATTAAATTATGACGGCACAGACGCGGCACCGCTGCAAGGGGGCTTGGTGCAACAGGGACCCCAACACGCCCCCCCTCTATTTCCTTTCAGGGAAGATCCAGGAGGGAGCGGGGAAGCGGGAGGCGCTGCGGGAGACACCCCCCCCCACACACACACACACCCTGCCGACCTGCCTCCGACCGCCTTCGGGCTCTGAGACCCCGAGAAAAGCCGGAGCGCTAATTCCGCTTTTGAATGGAGGAGGCCTCGGCTGGGCTGTTGACGTCGTCTCCGCCCATTGGACCGCCGGTGCTATGACATCACCGTTGGAGAAAGCGGCCGGGGAGGGGAGGCCGGACCAATTTGATTTGTTTGAGCAGTTGAAAGCCGGAGGGCGGGCAGGGCATGGAGCTGCGCGAACCGAGAGGCCCTTCAGCTGTTGCGCCGGCGACCAGAGCAGCGCCGCCTCGGTCCTCCTCTGCAGGTACAGCGGCTGCCGAGAGACGCGGGACGGGATTGACTGGCGGGCGGCATAGCGCGAGTGAGCGAGCCCGGGCGATAAGGGGTGTGTATGTGTGAGATGGAGAAGCATGGCGAAGGCGAGTAGCGTCGCCCCGGCGGCTGGGAACGCTGGGGCTTTTCGTCCTTCATCTCTAGAAGCAAGGAGAAGGAGGGAAGGGAGAAGAGCGGGTCGTTCGAGGGCTGCCTCTGCGCCGGCTGCTCCCATGGCGGGAACCCGGCGCGGAAGGGAAGGGTCTGTTTCTTGCAAGATTTGCTCCGACCCTCCCATCCCCTTTGAACCTGGCCTCCCTCCCCGGAGGGAGCGGGAGGGCTAGACTGGGCTGAAGCAGAGGAGAAAGAGCGCGGGGAGAAGCCGCGTAGCCGAGAGGCTCGCCCGCCTTTCCACCAGATCTCTCCGGTCGGGAGACGGGGCTTGCAAATTGCAAAAGCCGTTCCTTCCAAGTCGGCAGCAGGCGGCCCGGGCTCTGGCAGCCGCTTCGCCCTCTTGTCGGGAGAGTCTTGTCAGCTTCCCCTTGATGGCCCTTCCCCTCCCCTCCCTGCACAGTGCCCAGGGAGGGAGTGAAAGGGGGAGAGAGGGAGTGGGGGAGGAACAGACGGGAAGGGCTGCCGGACCTTTGCGGCGCTTTGTTTTGGACTCGGGCACTGCTGGGAAAAGCGGCGGCTGTTCCTCTTGTACCGAGTTCGGATCGCTTTTGCGCGCGCACACACACACATACACACACACAAACTGTGGGAGCCCTCCAGGTAGCGTTGGACTCGTTTTGTTTCGGGAAACGGCAGCTGTTCTATTGTGTCGAAACTGGGGAGGGGACAGAAAAGAGACGACAGAAAAGCAATAAATCGTGTCTCTCGGAGATCCCGTGAGAATTGGATGGGGCGGCTCGATTGTGGGCCGCCGGGGGTGCGCCCGCGCGCGTGTGTCAGGGCTGAACGCCGAGAGCCCAAGTGCGAACCTCGGGGGAAGAGTTTACGCCCTTCAAATCGATCCCTGGATTTGCCCAGGTGGAAATACATTTGGAGAGAAGGGTCGTTCGTAAGCCCCACAAAACGATCTTTTCATGGCCAGAGGGGACCGGGGGGATCCCCGTGGGGTTGGGGGTAAAGCAAGACCCGCTTTGCTGACGGGCGGACGCAAAGGGGGGCTTCTATCTTGTGTGGATTCAAAGTGGCGGGGGGGGGGGGAGGGAGAGGGAGATCGTTTCTTCCGGATGATAGCCCGGTGCCTTTGGAAAAGGAGGTCAGGTTTAAAAAGGAGAAAATAGCCTTGAGGGGAATGAACTTAAGGGAAAGCTCTCGTCTGACTCTGACATTTCCTGAGCTTTTTTTCCCCCCTCCCTGTCTCCAGTAGAAACGGGCAGTGAGAGGCGTGAAAGATTAATTGCAGCCAAAAGTTGGAAACGGGATAGCATTATCAGCCCCTTATAAAATCAACAAGCAGTCCATTGAATCAACTAACTCCTCTTTGAGCAGCGGTTGAGATGTCTCTCTTTCTCATTTGCGCGTTGTTTGTGCAACTTGCACGGCAACTCCTTCCCCACCCCCTTCGTTTATTTTTCTTTTTTAACAAGCTCGGATTGCAGCCCTCTGTGATTGTTTCAAGGTGCCTGGTGAACAAGGATTTCTGCCTCTCTGGTCCCACAGGATTGAAATTCTCTTCCACGGTATTGAAATGCAGCTTCACAAAGAGCTCTGAATTGGAATTCCGGACAAAAGGAGCTAGGCTGGGGTTTCACTTTTCTTCCCTCTGCCTTGCTTAAATTTCAAGTGGCTTTGCCAAGTTCTCTGTGAGTGGCTCTGTTGTGCAGCTTTTTTCCTATCCATTCCTGCAAGAAACAAGGATAAACTTGTCTTGTTAACCAGGGCTTAAAGTTTTTGAGGCTGGTTCCAAGAGGATCTTTCCTAGCTCTTAGAAACTAAGGCAGCATGCTTAGTTTGATACATGTGATCTATGCTGGAAAAGGGATGCTCTTTTCAGTGTGCTGGCAGGGTTTGGCAAATATTTAGGCCAGTAATATCTGGGTATAATGATTTATCTGGGCTTCTTCAGGCATGCACACACATGTACAACCTACACATGTACAGTTTTCTGTGGTCAGGGAGAATGTTAATGGATGGTTTAAATATTAAGTGGGTTGTTGTCTCACTTTTCCAATGAACTCCATATTCTTGTTCTCTAAATAGTTGGGAGTATGGGATGGGCAAAACTTTTTTAATGCTTAACAATTAAGAAATAATTAAATTAAACAATTAAAATAACATTACATTTTTCTCAAAGTTTTGCTGATATGTAACCTGGGTACATATATGCTTACCCAGAAATAAAGTCCACAGAGGTCAGTAGCATTATCCCATGGAATGTGTGCTGCTTGCTGGGACTTTGGCTGAATTACTTCCTCAGTTCAATATCTGGAAACTTAGTTGTTTCTTGGAAGAAACAGACCAGTTGAACTTTTACAAAACTGCAACAAGCTTGCAGATTTTGAGAACTCTTCATGAAGGAAATTGCTTAGCATGGGAGGAAGAACCATCACTGATTTTGGAGCCACATCTGAAAAATACCATATTTACCCAAAAGGAACATGGTTCTAAATTTAGAATGTTTCCTTTATAAAAATGGAAGCTTGAAAAGAAAAATTCATTTGCCTTTGTTATGTAAATTATTTGGGAGAACAGAAGTAGTATTTCCTTTAGGTAAATATTATAAGGTTTGTTCCTCCTTGCCAACACCAATACTATTGTTTTTCTATTTAAGAAGTTAATATTTAGGACTTAATTACAAAAGTTACAGTAAGGAAGCAAGAGATCCTGATCTACAAATCCAGAACATCTGTGCTAATTCTGGCCACTTCGTTTGGAATTTGTAGCTCTAATAATTGTATGAAGTAGTTGGTAATAAAGTCTTCTTCACCAACAGAAGAAACTGGTCTTTCAACTTAAGTCATTTATACTTTTCTATTTTCTTTCCTCTAGCAATTTATGCTGGAAAGTGAACCAAGTGGGTAGAAGAAGTAAAGCCTTTAAAGCAATTTAGATAATGGGTTTAAATCTCAACATGTTTGTGTCTACACCTTCCAGTAGGTAATAAGAATTCAAACAAATTGTTTAAAAGAAACTTAGCTATCCCTCAGGGTGAAAAGCAATCTTGGAGACTGCCTGTGTGGCTTTTGTTTTAAGTGGTGGTTTTTGCATAGGTTACTGAAAATAGCTGTGCAAAAATTATCTAGGTGAATAAGGACTTTGAATTGATATTGATACCCAATTTCTCCCTGTGCAGAGAGTCCTGAGAAGCAATAGATTTGTTCACGCCCTCAAAAAAGCTATATTACGCAGAAACAATGATAGAACCAACACAACAGCAACATGTTAGCTTACAGATACTGATTTCATGCATCTGTGATTTGTAAAGCTGTTTGCTTAAACCATTATAATTATATGAATTCATACAATATGGTAAGTCATAGCCATAGTTAGGCACTATAGTGATTGGATTCGTGTAACACCATATGCCAAGATGAATCAACTTGCATATTATGTAGAATGATAGGTGGATCTCTTACACACACATAAACTTTTTGTGTTTCTTTCATATAAACACAATATCTTCTTGTTTCTAGGAAGAACACAATCCTTTTGTGTCGCGACTCTTTAGATTATTGTTAAAATATGTCCACAGTTGGATATAAGCATAACTGTGAATTGGAGATTTCTTACTGGCTGGTTTATACAGCATGCCATGTTAAACTGTGGTTTGTATGTCTTTAACTCCAGTGCCAACAATCCAGCCAACACTTTATGAACCATGATGAATGTTGTAATATCTTGGGTGAAGCCAGTGATGGTTTGTTAAACCATTATTAAGCAAGCTATGGCTCAGGGGCCTATGAACTTGCCCTCTATCTGGTACAAGACTTTCTAAAGTAAGAGTAAAGGAAGTGGGTATATTCCCATCTTTTTGAAAGCAGTGGAATCTTCCCTTCTCGCCCTATTTTCCCAGCCCTTCTATGTGTCTACTTGTGGTTCTTTTGATTTTAAAAAATGCTGTGTTTAATCAGGCCAACGCTTTGCTGTTATGCATGGTATGAAGATAAATCTAATCCTGAATGAAGCTAATTTGATTTGGAAACCCTCAGCTTTGACTCCTTTTGAACAATTCCACCAAAGCCAAGCTTGTCTTCATGGCTGACTTTTGTCTTAGGTTGGTTGGCCAAGCAGCCTTTTCTACAATGGAGCTACCCTAGGAAAACTTGGTGAAGAGGGCTAAATTAAATACTGATGTTGTTTTATGGCATGTGCATAATAAACAATGGGCAATTGCTCTCCAGGAGAGGCAGTAAATCCTAGGTCCCTCTTGATTGTTTTCAATTGAACTAGCTCTCCCAGTCCTGCTATAGTAATTTTTTGTGCTCTGGGAGGGTTGGTCACTTGAATGGCTCTGCTGACAGCAGCAGTTTGCTGAATAACACATTCTGTAGTTCATTACTGGGGTAATATCAGAATCATGTGAGTTGTTATTAAAAGTCAACAATCCCCCTAACTGCTTGCTCCATCCAAGCAAATGCTGCCATCCTATTGATTTGAGAAGCTTTGACTGAGGCTCCTTAGTTCCTGCCAAAACCTGCTCTGAGCCAGTTTGATGTCAATATGCAGAACCAAACTCTCTGCAGGGAAGTTCTCATGACTCTATGCCTGGGACCAGATCTTGCACTGGAATAGAAGGTGTATTATGAGCACTTTTTCAATTCTCAGTCAAACGAATAGCCCAGAGATTTTCCAGTGATCTCCCATCTGATCTCCTCCCTGAGTTTTCTTGAGATCACAAAAGGCCATCAAGGTGCTGCCACCCACTTTGTCCTGTTCTGGGGCAGATACAACCATGGTGGAACAAAGACGTGCAAACTGTTTTTGTATCTTTGCAAGAAATAAAACCCTGCATGGGCATATCTATAAGGAAGTTGAAATCAA